CTTCCTGGGGACCCTGCAATCTCTGTGTCGCACTGTGACATTCAGGAGTCCATCTCCACTGTGCTTCTTTGTGTTTCTCAGACACATTGACATTTAGCTTTGCATGCTGATGTGATTTAAAAATATATACCCCCCCGTGAAGTCCATACCAGAGCTGTCATTAGCTACATCTAATGCTGGTGCTCCCTCCTTCATTTCTTTATTTCTTCATACCTTTCTTCACTTTCCCTTTCACTTTGTCCATCTCTTCTATTCTGTGTAGCTTCGTTATTGAGAACCGTTTCGGAGAATCCCCTCTCTGATATCGGTTTCATTCTCACTCTCTATTTGCTAACCCTTGAATAATCATTTCCGCAGTGCTTGTATTTGGTTGCTCTCAGCCCGCCTTTCTCCTTCCCGCCTTATAAATTGTTCACAGGTGTTTGATTAATGTTGTAGTGCATAAAACAATTACTTGAGCATTTGGTGTGGTAGTCGAACGGAATGTTTGATCACATCAGCAGTCATGTCCAAAGCATTTCTATAGTTTATGTGTACATTGGTGGCGCTTATTGTAATGGGCGTCCTGGCTGCGCCTCGGCACGCACACAACACCCCCTGAGATAGAGTCCAGGATGACTGTGACTGCAAAACCGATGAGTGATTCTTAGAAACGGTGAAGTGCCGTATGCCGACATGCACAGAGAGGGTACGAGAGTCTGGAGGCCGCATGGAGAGCGAGGATCGTGATGTCATGATCGCTAACAACCTCTGAGGTAATGAGGCGCTCTTAATCAGCGTGGCGGTTTGTTTGGTAACGTAGCGCCGGTGAGCCCTGCATGCGGTGTTAGGAGTGCACTAAAGATTTCCAGCAAAGCACAGAAAAGTGGCTTTCAAAAAGTCAACCATCCAAAGGTGATTTTGTTGGCTCGGCTACAGCGAATTTGTGATAGGAACAGATATTCCTGTGTTGATTTTAGGTTATATGACATGTCACAAATAACCTGGTTGAGACAAACTGTTATGGAAATGTTATGGAAGCACATCTGAAATGGGAATTAAAGGGGGCATACCGTCCTTTGCGATATAGCCGTCATGTGATCTCCACGGTAACAAGCTTGTCCAGAGGGCGGGGCTTCACAGTGGTCATTTGATCTCCACGGTACTGTGCCTGTCCTGAGGGCGGGGCTTCACAGTGGTCATGTGATCTCCACGGTACCGTGCCTGTCCTGAGGGCGGGGCTTCACAGTGGTCATGTGATCTCCACGGTACCATGCCTGTCCTGAGGGCGGGGCTTCACAGTGGTCATGTGATCTCCACGGTACTGTGCCTGTCCTGAGGGCGGGGCTTCACAGTTGATTGTAGCAGGACCACAGGTGCATCATTGTGATTCACAAGGTGTTCAGAAGCCAGGAGGAGGCTCAGGATCACTCTCTGTGTCCCTCTCCACCAAACACCCCTCCTCACACACACACACACACAGGTTTGTAATTATATATTTGTGGGGACTCTCCATTCATTTCTATGGCAAAAACCCTAATCCCAACATGACAACTTTAACTCCTACCCAGCCCAAACCTTAACCATAAGTAAGCAAACCAAAAATGAGACTTTTGGCATTTTTAGATTCTCATTCACAGATCTTTGTGGGGACCTGAAAAATGCAGGGGACATTTGATTCCCACAATGTAACATAATCATAATCTACACACACACACACAGACACACACAAAGCAGAGCAGCAGCCAGAGCCCTCAGAAGGTGTTTGAGATGATACAACCCCACAGGAAGGTGACTCACACAGAGGTCACCACCACTCCCTTCTAGCATCGAGTCACGCTGCAGTCTACAGACAAAACAGCACTGACTGACTCACCTCAGCAGTGCTGTTGTCAAGGAAGGAGGGGGTGGTTCAAACAGAACTGGAGTCCAACTTGGGACCAGACCGTAGTTCCTGGTGAAGCTGCATTCAGAGGCAGGCTGTGGATGGATGGACCAATGGGGAAACACTGCCTGGATCCTGTTTAGCCGCAGTCACAGGCAGACAGAAGTGCAGTGAATTATTAACAGCTCTGGCTCTGGCAGCAGCAGGAGGGCACAGGGCATGCTGGGTATTTGCTTGGCCGGCTCCGCTTTTTGGATAGGAGTGTTTGACGTGTAAATCAGACACTGATGATTGTATTGAATGTATCCCGTTATCTCTCTGCCTTCTGGTGTGACTAATTGGACATGTGGCTAACAGGACGCGCTGCTAACAGGGTGTGTAGTTAAGGGGACGTGTGGCGAACG